CCGGGTCAGCATTTAAGGATCCAATAGGGACGTTGTATACACATCTAGCCTGCCTCTACTGCCTCCAACGTGCATATAATATAGTGACCTTACCTAGTTAGGTGTCTATAACATCCATAAGATGCATCCCGAGGTAACATCATTCTCGGCTTTTCAGATACGTACGAACCTCTTAGTGTTACTATCTGACACCACCCTCAAGAGATCGTCTGATCCTAGTTGTAACACACATCTCGATCATAAGCTATAGGCTCTCATCGAAGCGACAAGGGACGATTGAGACCTCTCTATTGTTAGTTTTCTGAAGAACGTGCATGATTGCTACACCGTTCTCTACATCGTTCTTGTGAATCGCTTCAGCCCACTTCGGGATGAAGTGGCTGTGACAATCGAACTAGCAACCGTTATATGCTATAATTAACTTAGACTGAGTAAGGAGCTGTGATATCGAAGGAGGATTGCAATCAAAGAAAATGAATTGCAGGAAAGATCTTTGAAATGATTGGGGAGGCTTGCTTACCTGTTTTCGCTAATCTAGCCTCCCAGAGAACATGCTTGGAAGCGCTAAAGTACTATGATAGTAGTGGCTTGTGCTGTGGCGTTGCTCACCGAGTTTAATCGTTGAAGTAACGATCGTCGCCTAGGCATGACAAGAAATCTATAACAATACCTAGGTAGGTAGATATTAAAACAGAATCATGGACGACGAGTACTCCTTCTCGTGTTGCAGTCCATAAGTATCGAATCGTTCGGGATAAACTTGAAAACGTAATTATCTCCAGAATGCCCACGATATCTTAGGCAATATACACTACCCCTCGACGACGTACATAATAAGAGACCAAGAACTGTCCCTAGCCAATGATTATTTCGACAGGACTTCGTTACGCCTTCAAGCTAGATGACTTCATCTAACGCCGTCTTGCGCATTTGCTTCCGCTCCGATGCTCATCTAGCACCTGCAAGCGGCCGATGGAGCCCAGCATGCTGATTGGATTGTCGCAAGCGCCTCAGTAACCGGGTCCAGTTTAGTCGCACGCGGGAATCTTCATCAATGTTTACTAGGTACCCGAAGGTCTAAGCCGCTCCGAAGCTACCTATATTCAGTGTATATCGAAATATAGACGTCAAACTATCGGGTCGATTTACGCGCTTCATGCGATTCTGATGATAACAGTGTACGCATGGCAACGCATAACTACCTACCTATTGTTTCGAGTCAGATTTGGGTTGATGAAAAGGGGGATGTAGCGAGCTTAGAAACCCGATTTTCTAGGTTCCTGTGGGAAGATAATGTTAGGTAGGTTATTTTAATTCCAATCTTAGAGGGATAATTATCGAAATATCGCGTCCACCTAGAGCCGTAAATGGGGGTCAATCGTCGCATTAACTAGAACTTTGTTCAGTAGGCAGACCAGCTTCTAATCGCTTTGCCAAGGTCAACTCTTTCCAATGTGCGAACATTTGCTCCTGCTCCAACCTATGCGAGGTACTAATCCCATGGTCAAATGAGAGGACCGAGAACATATTGGGAATATCCATATGCCATTTTAACCGACCGTCGACCCGAATTTCTATATCTCCGACATTCTCATATAGGATCTTACCATACTTTATAGTCGATATGCCAAGATTGAGCACTCGGAGAAGTAGCGCTCTAACAAAATGAGCTAAATACTCAGCAGCAAGGAGGCCCTCATCTTGATCGAATACCCAACTCTTCTCGGGATCGGTAAGTGCGGCCATATCGTCAACTTCCTTAAAGTATTGTACAAAGGACGCAAGAGGGATGATACCCTTTTCATTTGTCGGCAAGAAATCTAGGACGAGATTTTGAACTGTGAAACCACCACTATCGTTGTCTCTGTCCAAAGCTAGCGGGCCATTCCGGAGGAACCCTGCCAGAAGGTGATAGAACGACCAGACAATTGGTGGCGGTCCCGGTTTCTCTGAGCAATATGGGTCGTCCGGGACATGCGATTGCAAGTGTTCGGGAACGGGAAAAACTCGAAATTGTGCATAAACATTCCCGAGCGTTTGTTGGAGTTTCGGAACTGATAACCAGGTGGGCCATAGAGTTCCATTTTTTAGAAACGCAATATCGATAGCATAGTTTGGTAGTTCGCTCATACGCCGCAGCGCATCTTGCGCCTCTCGATGAACTTGGCGGTTGACTAGCAACAGCGAGAGCAACGGGTTCTGGAAGGACTGCTGCTCGAACCAGACGCGATCTCTGGCCATGGGTGCCAAAGAGTAGCTCTGTCGCTCACACGTCCTACGACATTCTCTACGGTACCTTGATAGTGATGGATCCGAGTGTGTATCAAGGCAAACGTAGGTGAAGATATGGTCCCGCAGCTCTTGCGGGAGATTGAGTAACATCGCTGAAACGTATTAATAACTATGGATAATTGGAAATATTCCAACAATTGGTCCTTTTAAAAGCAGGTCAGTATTTCAAGCCGACGTAACATGATACAAATCTTATTAGGGGTGACTAGTATAGCCTGTCCGTCCTTACCGGAACCATCTTGGGATAGACTAGGCTCCCACATTAGAACCCGGTCAGCGTCATGGGCCATCAGCTAAGGCACGGTTCGACGACGCCGAGGCTCCCTACAGGTGATTTAGAATAGATCATCTCGAACAAGAATCCGATCAGCTCAGTTCCGACGCGTATCCATCATCTTGCGAATGGCAAAAGTGCGTAGATACATATCTTGTTGGCTGTTGGCTGTTGGTTCTGGGCACTTTTTCTGGTGCCTAGAGTTGATCACCTAAGCTTATGCGCGAAAATGCAAGTTGCTGAGCGAGAATTCCCATGTAGGTAAGTAAGCAACAAAGAATCCCGGTGCAGCACGTCGAGATGGTGCCAGCAGTTATTAGTAATACGTGTGTAACCTCAGGTGTTGCCGTCGAATCGCAGCGATTAGGATCGTTATTCCGACATACCTAGTAGCTAAAAGTAGAGATCGTTTATTAATTCTTCCACCTAGCAATGATTTATCCCGCCTTACGATTGCTGCAGCTTCGTATCGATATGTAGAACAGGTTTCAGTGCGGCCGAAAAGCCGACCCGCGCAATCGCTTGAGTTCGCATACGGAATTCGCATGCGGAAGGAAATGCGAGAATAATCGAACCCCAGCCAGGCAGATAGAGGATGGCAATACGGCGACATAGCCACATATTCCCCTGACCTTGTGTGGCCATTTGGTAGGCTTCTTTCTACGACAAGACGATGATACCAATGAGGGTCAATGTGTTCCCGCTCATGAAAATATTAACGGGCGCATTATAGGTTTCTGTGTTCAGATCATGCTGTATACACTTTTTGGTAAGCCTGCTCCTATTTTGATATGGATAGAACGGATCAACAGCGTGAAAATGGAGAAAATAAAATATGACTTGGACAGAAAAGATTAATTGATGAGTAATCGAATATGTGCATGTTTAATCCAATAAAGTGCGGGGTTATTTTCGACTACGGAATTATACCCTATAAATTATACCCTACTAATGAGATAACTTCGGATAAACCTTTCACCCGCTGCCCCTCTATACTTGTCCTTCGCAAATTCTCAATCACCTGTAATTTTATTCCAACTCAACCCTTTGCCAATATTGCGATGGGCAATTGCCTACAGTCGCGTGTCGATTAGCCAAGGATTCACTTACACCGGCAATATTCATTACTTCCCTCACACATTCAGTACTTCGATGTATGGCGAAGTAAGTACCTAAGGTTACAAGATGTAGCGATTGCTTTTGAGCCTGTAGACGCCAAGCATACTTTCAATAGTCATGTAAGCCGGACAACTACCTCTATACAGGTCTAAATATGTCATCAACGGTACGATATTCCTCTCCATTTCCGAATTACCCCGTTGTATTACTTGGTCCTTTTATCTTCCAGCATGATGACTACTGTTTGGCCTGCTTTGGCTGATCCACGATGACACACAAACATTAAAATTCACAGTCTGACTGGTTACTTATATGCACATATTCCTCATGATTACCTACTTAGTAACTATATGGATGTTAACCTAGCTAACATTAAGTGAAGGAATTACATGCAACACCATCAACTTGATCAGTACTCGGGTAGCTATCGTATTAACACGCTTCTTAGACACCGACCGATGCCTTCCCGAACAATGTCCACATTTATCAGTAGGCTTTCTTAGCTCAGCTATAGCAAAATATTACTTGTCTCAAACGAAGCACATCCATATCGCCCAGGATTTTCGCTCTCCTAGCAATATAGCCATGGCGTTGCTTATTTCGGTATGGGTCCTAAGTTCCTGGATTAGTGATGGTTGAAGCAGCACAATAAGGTAAAAGTCGAGAGTTAAGGCTGAACCTCGCAGCTAAATAATTGGCCGAATTGAATCATATAACTACTTAGGTAAAGATCTCTTTCTGCTAGAAGTTTAGTATGCGGTTGGTATCAAAAAGTTAATATAAAACGAGCCCTACATAGGTATTGAATGACTGGGTAGGTAATTATTCAGGTCTATTTATGATTTCCACCATTATATATTAAATCTACCTATTCATATCAACGACAATAAAAGGTGCATAAACATTATACCCTAACAAATATAATCTAGTTGGATTCATGTGTCTACCGAATATGCTTGTCGAAATGAAGTTAAGGAACAATCTCACAGCAGAACGACATCAGAATAAGTATAGACTATAATACAGGTAATTCAAGGCATTGTACATTAGTTATCCTCTAGATTACTTCGTAAGGTAATTAACAAATATCAAGGAGGTAGTAGGTAGCGACATGTGTCAATTAGATAATCAGGGGATAAAGGTACCTAATGCTGCTTGTGATGTCCGATAAATCGCGCTAACGCTTGTGGAGGCGACGCCTCATTGGTGAGAAAACTTCCGGCAATATTGGCGGGCTACAATAAGTAGCCACGTTACAATCCTTCCAACATATTCGGATAGCCTCGGTCATTGAACGACCACCTACGAGGCCATAGGCACAGTGGCGGAGTGGTCTAACGCGTGTGACTCGAACCTTGAGTTGATCACATCTCTTCGGAGGCGCCCGTTCGAATCGGGCCTGTGTCGTATTCCTTTTTATTGTTTTCTTGTCCATATATTTTTTTGACCCCCCTCCTTTTCTCGACTCATTCCCACACCGTCCATTTTAACGTCATTATAATAATATTTTACAACAAGATATAACAATGGCTAGTTATTACTATTATAAGATTTTCATTTGAGGGTCATCCTGCTGAAGCAATCTACTGGGTATTTAATGACTAATGTCGACTGTTTCCCTCTCTGGTAAGCTTTCCCTTTTGTCGCAAAAATTCATAACAGAAAATTTCAAAAAGATAGAGCTAGTTACCAGCACCCAAGAAGTTTGTAGGCCGGATAAGTTTTGTACTGCATTTAGGTATATTCTACACATCGGCACTATCATGTTTGGATTAGTCAATCGTTCCAGACGAGGTTAAGGACTGTCAATATGTACGTCAAAATGCACAGCCCATCGGTGAACCCACTCGTTAGAGATTGGTCGCCGAACAAACTTATCCGCTAGCAAATCCAACATACTCGACTTGATATGCCGAAACCTGTCGGTACTGCGTGAGTGACAGGCAGGTGGAGATGAGAGATACGGAGAAATCCACCAAGGCAGTCTTAGGAATGTTTAGCGGCTGCTCTAAAAGAAAATTATAGCCCCTAGCTCATTACGATAGATGGCCAATTCGAGGACGGGGTTATAGCTTTCAACAAAGATATACCAGAGTATACTAGTGGCCGATGTCTATCCGGATCATTCGGGCAAACTGCGTTCATGTATGCGATGTGTTAATATGTGATGTCCAGGGGAGATAAGCTATGAAATATTCCGAGTTGGCTCTCACTGGGGGAAATTTTCGGGACGAACTGTGGGTATCGGTGGTGTTTGTGCGGCAAAGCTACCTAAATGACACCATAAGTACTCGGCCCTAATATCTATCTCGGGATGTTCCGATCACCCTGAGCTCCGACGGTGCCTGAGACTAAAACGATCTAGTTTGAAGGACATAACCACGTAACCCATCGCGGATAGATGTATGCGGGTGAAGTTTCCGGACAAGCGATCTTATGCGTTGCAAGGTAGTATCGTGGTTTTAGTATCGATGAACGTGGAAAATGCAAGCGTGTTGGCCGTGCGGTTATTGATCTACGCTGGGATCATGAGGAATAGTTCCACAAGTATTCTTAATACGGTAGGTAGTTCATATTCGAAAGCTAATATGTCAACATGTCATTCGGAGTTGACTCAGGGCAAAACACTTTGGTCGGAGCACGGATCAGATTGCTGCGCAAACATGAGTCTAGTATTAGCAGCAGGGGCAAGCTAGAAAGCCCTGTTGCGAGGATCTGTCAATGAAAAGGTATTATGTAGCTGTTTTCATTGTACACTATTGTCTGATTTGTGTGTCATGTTTATTATTTGGGGCGTGACTATGCGGGCGATCTCGACCTTCTAGAATACCTAATTACTCTTATGAAGTTTCCACTCGACATCAGTTTCTACAGTAGTAGGTTGGCAGATCATAGTAGAAAATAGAATATGTAGATTCACACTAGATAGAGCCCGATATGTCAGATGCCAAAAGGGTCTCTTGGGCGAACCGTGCGGCCAAGATAACATCGTTCCGAACTATTGAAGGAGCTAATGTCGTCATTCAGCCCAGTATCAACGTCTATCATCATCCGGACATAGAGCTCAATTCTAACCCGTTACTGCACACACTACACCAGAAGCTAAAGTGGTCATCATAAAAAGCGTAATTCTAAAACACCTAGGTACCTACCTTCCTACCTTGGTATGTACCTAGGTAGGTAGCTAATTTGAATGGTTGCACGCGATATCTGTGACTCCTTTTCTACGATGGGACTTTAGACACCCATAACGATAAACTGAAATTTTCTAGAATTCTGTATTTACCTACTAAGGGAATATGCGTAGCCAAACTACGGGTTTGATAATAAACAAAGGAAAAGGGTATCAGGGGATATTCCTCTTGTTCCATCCAAGCAACCGTCCCCTAACGCCATCCATTTTTTTCCATGCATGATAGCCAAATACCTCAAAACGAGCCATTACTAGATACCTACTTTAGAGTGTGTTGTACGGTCCTCAAAGTTGCGATTCGGCGTTGCGATTGAGCGGCTATCCGCAGTCGAGACAGTAAACTGTGTAGTGCGCATAATGCCCGTGCCGGTAAGGATTTCCTCGTCTGAGTCTCGTGAGGATCGAACTTCGGTATGAACTCGCCTGCCGCTCATGTCCTTCAACCCAATATCACCCTCCGGTCCATCGGTGGTCCTTATATAGCCCTGTTGTGCGTGCGATGTGACGCCATATTTATTGTGTCCGTAGTAAGATTGGTTGTTAGTCGACTTGAGGCGTGGGACCCAGCGACGGACAAGCGGCCACAACGCAGGAGCAGATGCGGTCAAGATTGCTAGGTTGCACTCGATAGAAGAGACACAGAACCCGACAGAGAAATTCTTGTCAAGACTCGTATCATTGAAGTTCTGGGCGAGGAAGTAGAGACGGATGATGCTGACAACCGTAACGCTGTCGTTGAGTGTTAGTGTTTCCTCTTCAGGCGCACTTCTAGGTTATAAATCCTGAGTAGAAAATAGGGGTTTCTTACAGTACGCCCAACATGAAGACGCCAATCAAGGCAATCTTTCTATTTTTATTTATCTTCAACCCGAGGAAAATGTAGAACGGAAGTGCAACGGAGACAATATCGGTCGCAATTGTCATGCAAGCAGCTACTACGCCAAATTTGAATTGCTCGATGCAATGTCCCGGAACCAATGGGTGCCAATTCATCTCAATTGGCGTGCATTGGAAGATAACGGTTATGAATATCGCAAGCATGAGCACCGTGTTGAAGATGATAGTGCCCCAGACAACATATCGGACTCCTGCTTTGATACCCGCGAAACGAAGTAAGAAGACGAGAACGGACTGCTTGACTAATGTTAAGATGGGCTGATAGACAGCGCCGACAACATATATCCAGATTAATCCTTCCGTGGCATCATAGGGCGGGACATCGTAGTAGTGAATCCCTATGTAAAGTGTTTTCATAACTACATTTCGTTAATTAGGTACAATATCAGCGGACACAGATTTGTATCTTCATACTTTTTATTGAGCCTACTGCCAGAGCAATGCTCAAGGCCATCGCAGCAACGATCAGGCCATCGTCTTTACGATTTATGTTAGCGCTACTCTCATACCTTGATGATAAAATTCATGAATGGTTAACCTACCCCAACCGAAGCTCTTTGTATCAAACCTGATATATGTCCTCAGGACGACGACTATAAGTGCGAGTGCAGGACATACCACCTCTATGGCGATACCCAAATTTTGAAGCCAGCTCGTTGGGTTAGGATTCGTAGATGTTGTAGAGGTCGACATGGTGACTGATCGTTAGAGCATCTGTGCATCGACTACTCAGATAAGCTCAAGATCGAAACGGGGATGAGCCGAGTCAAGGAGTAGAGATCGACGTCAAAATTGCGATGGGTCGTTCATATATATTCAGTCACTGGATTCAAGACGGCTCATAGATCTGCGTAACCGGGTTGCGCTGCAACCTTACCAAGGATAAAAGAGGTCTTGACGACTGCTCCAACTCGTGACTGATGAATTATCCTCATGATATGCTGCATTTTCGAACGACTTAGCTGCATGCCATGATTGCCAACAAGGAATACCAAACCGCAGATCCTTTCATGCCCTAACTTACTATTTACTATGGTAGAAGCGTGCCATTACGTACATGGGTTCCCCAGTCTCAGTCCCAGTCCAAATCTAGAACAGTCTGAGGCCTAAATCCAAAACTGGATATTATCCCAGCCTTGGCAGACGCCACGCGCCGGTCGAAACTCGCGCGGACTAGAGATTTTATATCATGGTATTAGGGGTAGGCACAACCCACGACTTCACTTTCGCTTGATAACTAAACTCACCAACATCAAATGTTCACTCTAAGCGAGGTCACATCGTCTCGTATCTCTGAAGTTTACCTACTTATCTTCGCTCGGATATTTTCTGTGCAAGCATGTATGTAGGTTAGGTAGATATGTTAATAGCAGAGTTATCAGAATGTAATTCATCTTTACAGTATTTGTGTAACAGGGATATACCCCCTTTAGTACATTGGCCCGTCAACATGAGTTCGGTCTATAACCGACTTAAACAATTCGAAGCCTCCTAGCGCATCGAGAATTTATGCGAGCACGCTATCAAAATTTCTATCTTTACCTAGGTAGGTACTGTAGGTATTTGATGCAACACCCGCTTGCCACAAGTTAGACGTTGGTGCACTCCAAAGCCCCCCTTTTTTCCTGTGCCTTTTTCATGTCGGCTCACCCCTATAAGGCGCCGGGGAATTTTTCTCTTGTTTCTATGGGTCTATCGGATGCTTGTTTCCTACTAGGAGAGCATACCTACCTAGGTACCTAGATGGGTAGATATATGTAAACTGTCACATTCTAAGCAGTCTCATACTACCTTCATATGTTACGTCGTACTCTAGGTTCTGTACTATTCAACTCTCAAAGATCATCCTAGGAAACATAAGGCTAAGTATGTATGTAGATCATCGCCAAATACTCGATAGGTAGGTAGGTAGTCTAAAAATTGTACCGTCGTAGTGGTCGCCTGAATACAGGTCCTCCTCCGACTTCTCCTGTGCGATACACGCGTTTATGTCTAGACGATAGGGTTAATTGCACTACGAAACTCATAGCATGAAATTCAAACTTGTTTACACCCCTTCCTAGCCCATGCTAGGAAATGGTTCTGAATGGCAAGACTTGTTTCTGGAAACCCACTGTGCTGGCGCAAGAAGGCCGGTTAAACGCAACCCTGGCTAACTAATACCGATTTTGACACAACAAGCGGGGGCAGATACCAGGTCGGGGTAATTCAACAGTCTGGTTAGCTTCTCAGGGACGCGTACCTTGCGTAATTTATTACATGCATCGTTAGCGGGCCACACCCACACCCACACTTCCGCGTTCCGGAACAGATGATC